CTCTTAATTTTTAAATGTTTCCTGAAACATTTTTGGTCTTAATTACTACTCCAACGTACATTTATCAACTATACTCTTCACTTATTAGTGGAATGATGTTTGGCTTGTTTCTTACCCTCTCTCAACCTCTGTCTCTTCATCTGTAAAATGGGAAAAGTAATACACCTTCCTTGCAGGATGGTGGTAAGGATTAGAAGTACAATGCATAAGCCGTGGTGGCTGGCACAGAGCAGAACTCAATAAATGGCATCTATCATTATTTCCCTTCACACAGACAGACAGATTGTAAGCTTCTAGAAGGCAGAGACCAGACATGCCTTCAGCCTTAAGCTTCCACATCACCACAATGCCTAACACCCAGTATAAATCAACACATATTTGCCAAACGTTATTACAAAGAGGACGTAGAATAAAATATAAATCAAATTAGCTAAAATTCATCCATTAAAATGATTTTTTGGTTTTGTTTTTTGTTTGTTTTTGAGACGGGGCCTTGCTCTGTCACCCAAGCTGGAGTGCAGTGGCATGATCATAGCTCACCACAGCCTTAACTTCCTGGGCTGAAGCAATTCTTCCGCCTCAGCCCCGCAAGCAGCTGGGACTACAGGTGCATGCCACCACACCTGGCTAATTTCTTTATTCTGTATTTTTGCAGAGACAGAGGTCGTGAGCTCACAGGCTTAGATGATCTTCCCACCTCTGCCTCTCAAAGTGCTGGGATTACAGGCACAAGCCACCACTCCCAGTCTAAATGCTGCCACTGTCTTTTCAAAAATCTTAGCCTGAGTTTAGGCAGACTACTCCCTTCCCTGCTACCACTACCTGTGCACATGCATATACACACAGAAGAACTGGCCTCAAATGGCAAAAGAAATTGGATTATTCAACCAGGGTTCTAGATATTTTAATAGTTTGCCTAGAATAAATGAGTTTAGACATATTTTCCTTAATGAAATTTTCTTGATGAAATTACTCTGAAATCACTTAATCTTATAACAGTTGGCAATAAAATAGCTAAAGATCGCAGTAGGTCATTCAATTTAATTTACATCAGGCTGAAATATGATATGCCATGTAAACACTGATTTCCAAGACAAGGAGAGCAGCTCAACCAAAATCAGTAGGAATAGTCTTTATATTTAGTTTCTGGTAAGTTTCTTTACTTTCTAATCTACTTCAAAATAAAGCCCAAAATACAATAGCTTCCTTTCACAAGCCTCTTTATCTACAACACAAACATAACTGATAACACATCCCCCAAATGGCATGATGATTCCATTGACATTGGACCATGTCCATACACTCCTCTGTGACTAATGGAATATTTCTACACTGCGTGAGAAAAAAACATCAGTGGAAATCTTTTGGTGAAAAAGCATGTATCTCACGTGGGAATGCAGAGTGATAATTTCAGCTATTTGCTTTTCCTACAGAAACACCCCTGACTACTTGACAGCAAATCAAATAATCAACAATACCAAAGACTCTACAAGATCCTTCACTCAGTTTAAAAAAAGAAAACAAGAAAGTTTGCTAACTATTTTAAGCCATATGACTCAGAAAGCTAAGAAAAAATAATTTTAAGACCATTTTTTAAATTTCAAGGGCACTGAAAGTTTGATTGTAAAGCTACCAGAACCCAAGAAATATGACAGACTCTTAAGGACAAGGAATTTATCATGTGTCACTCTCATCACTCTCTGATTCCACAGAATACAGCAGGCACTCAGAAATGACTGGTGCCAGGAGTGGCAGGGCTGCTAGTGCAACTTCTATGCCCTAATAAATAAGAGTTGCTCTCTGCAACTTTGCAGAGAGCTAGTCCCTGCTCACCAACATTTTGTACTCTTTGCTCACCTGAAAGATTAAAAAAAAAAATTCTGAGATGGATCAAGGACAGTCAGATATCTTTAAAAAGATTTGGCGAATCACTGTCTTAAGCAATGGAACTACTGAGAATTAGAAGGCCCCAGTCTTCCCTGAGTGTGCAGTGGTACGATTAAGGATTTATGTTCTGGAGCCAAACAGCTTAGGTTGAGTCCCATCCCTCCCACTTACTGCTAAATGACCGTGAGCATACTTATGTTCTCTGTCCCTCAGTTTCCTCATTTAGAATATAGAGATGACAATAATAGTACCTACCACATAGAGCTTTTGTGAGGCTTATTTATATTTCACTTAGAATGATGCCCAGTACATAGTGAATACCTATCAAATGTTCATTATATTTAAATATTATCATTTAAAGATGAAATATCAAGCTCAGGCAGCTGCATTTTGCCCCAATGGAAATTAAATAGGCAGCAGGCTGAAGACATTGTCACACTGCCACTACACTCACTCCTCTTTAGGTGGAAAACCACACATTCTCCCCTTTTGTCCTTGTCTTTTATTGGCCGAGGTGGGCTGAAAAATAGGGAACCAATGACTCCCATCTCAAATACAGAGACACTGCTCCTAAATGGTAAAGAAATTGATCTGAGCTAATAAAAATACACATTACCTATTCTGGGTCAAAATTTGGAAAAAGAACCTACAATTATATCATAAATTGCTGTTTTACCAAGAACCCAAGGCAAGTCAATGAATACAAGATCATCTTTTTAACAAATAGTGCTGGAACAAAATCAATATGGCTGGATATCAGTATGGAGAAAAGTGTCTCAATCTTTACATCACATCATATATAAAAATCACTTCAAAATAAATCAAAAACCTGAATGAAAGAGGTAAAACTAATAAATGTCTAAAGAAAAACAAAAAGCAAACAAATTGTGTGACATTGGGTTAGGGAAAGATTTCTTAAATAACAAAAATATAAACTATAAATGATAACATTAATAAAGTAGACTTCATCGGATTAAACACTGTGGCTCATGGAAAGATAAAATTAAGAAAAGAAAGGCTAACGGACTGCAAAATATGTGACTAATCAAAGGCTTATATTCACATTATACAGAGAGCTTTTAAAACTTAACAAAAGGAAGAAAACTCAATTTAAAAGTTGGACAAATAATTTGAACAGACACTTCACAAAAGAAGTTATAGGAAGGGCCAAATAAGTACATGAAATGCTGTTTAACATCACTACACATAAAGAAATGCAAATTCAAGGCACAATGAAACATCATCACATATCCACTAAAAGAGCTGAAGTTTAAAAGTTACCAAGTTTTGGCAACAGTGTGGAAAACAGGGATCTTTATACATTGCTGGTAGGAACGAAATGGTATAGCCACTTTGAACCACCGTGTGGTACTACCTTATAAAGTTAAACATACATGAGCCACATGGCCCAGCAATTCCAGCTCTAAGTATTTACCTGAGAGAAATCAAAGTGTATGTCCACTTTAAAATATAAGTAGGAATGTCCATAGCAGCATTTTTCATAATAGCCAAAAGCTAGAAGCAACCAGATGTCCATCAACTAGTGACTAGCTATAGTGATATACACTCACTATGAAATACTACTCAGCAATTTTTAAAAACAACTATTAAAGCAAGCAACAAGGCTGGGCGCAGTGGCTCACACCTGTAATCTCAGCATTTGGGGAGGCCAAGGTGGGCAGATCACCTGAGGTCAGGAGTTCAAGACAAGCCTGGCCAACATGGTAAAACCCCATCTCTACTAAAAATACAAAAGAAAAAAAAAAAAAATAACCAGGCATGGTGATGCATGCCTGTAATCCCAGCTACTCCAGAGGCTGAGGCAGGAGAATCCTTTGAACTCAGTGGGCAGAGGTTGCAGTGAGTCAAGATCTCACCTCTGCACTCCAGCCTGGGCAACCCAGAAAGACTCCATCTCAAAAACAAACAAAAAACAACATATATGAATCTCAAAAATTTGCTAAGCAAAAAAGGCACAATAGGAGACTATATCCTCTGTCATTTCATTTAAATGAAATTTTAGACAAGGCAAAACTATGGTGACAGTGGGCAGATCCATGCTCACCAAATGCAAGGGGACCAGGGAGGGCTTCAAGTGCAAAGAGGTTCAAGGAAATTTTTAGGGCGAGGGAACTTTCTATGCTTAGCTTCTGATGTTGGTTTTACAATTGTATACAACTACCAAAATTCTCAACTGTGCACTTAGAACTTGTGAATTTAAAACAAACAAGCAAAGAAAATTGCTTCTGTTAGTCCTATGGGCTCCTGAGAAGAATACATATTCTCTATTTGTAAGGTAGAAAGAATACACACATATACACACATGATTATTGATAATGCAAATTCTCCTTCTTGAGTATTCCATCAGATTAGGTTTTTTAAAGTTATATTGTTTTGTTTTGTTTTTGAGATGGAGTTTCTGTCTTGGCGCCCAGGCTGGAGTGTAGTGGCACAGTCTCAGCTCACTGCAACCTCCGCCTCCTGGGTTCGAGTGATTCTCCTGCCTCAGCCTCTGAGTAGCTGTGATTACAGGCATCTGCAACCATGCCCGGCTTATTTTATTTTATTTTTTGGTATTTTTAGTAGAGACGGGGTTTCACTATGTTGGCCAAGTTGGTCTCGAACTCTCAACCTCAGTTGATCTACCCATTTCGACCTCCCAAAGTCCTGGGATTACGGGCGTGAGCCACCATGCTGGGCCAAAGTTATACTGCTTTTTAAGAAAGAATGGACAAGCCCTACCTTAAGCTACCTACCATTTGGAAGTTTACAAACTAGAGAAGATCAAGGTGAAAACTTTACAAAGCAGAAGTTTCCACACAAATATCTCTTAATTCCTCATAAATATTTAATCTTAAGACTAAAATGAAAACAAACAAAAAAATCCATCATCTAAGAATCAAGAAAAACAGAAATAATCCTCCACACACACAGACATAGATAGGTTTATTAGTATCTGTTTAGAAAGAATGCCAGACTACCAATAAACACATCTTTTAGAAAACTAGTTGAAACTAAAACTCACTGCTTAATTCATTTGTCACACTTTGAAAGGAAACAGAAAAGAAATTAGCTAGGGGCTCTGGGTTTGGGTTCCGGCCAATGGGACTCACCTCTGTGGCTGCGTCCTTGAAGCTCTCGCTGTACGTGCTGTCTGGGGTGCTGCGCTGGTCATCCTTGAGATAGGCGCTGTGGGTGGCCAGCGAGGGCAGGTCATACTGAGTCTGTTCAAAGATAACCACTCGTTGTTCTTCCCCATCTCCCCGGGGATAGTGCACAGGTGGGGTCATGAAAACTGGTGTGAAATCTTCAGCTTTCACCACAGTGATTCCTGACACCGGGATGATGGCAGAGCTCTCGGGGACGCTGATGCTGTACTGTTCCCGCTTGGAATTCTCCAGGTGATCTTGATTTAGAGAAAGGTTCACTGGAACCGTCTTTAGGACTTGCACTCGGTTTTCTCCTCCACTCAAATTACTCTGGGCTTCACTCGTGCCAAGGCAGTTTCTGTGTGTTCAAACCCGCCCCCGCAACATGATAGAATTAGAAAAATCACCATTCGGCAACACCTAATAAAATAACCAATGCAGGCAATAATCATTGGATGCTAATGCCATTAAGGGATGGGGGCTGGCAAACTTCACAACGAAATGCAATGGGATTCTTCGTCACTAGAAGCAGGATCACGAGTGAGCCATGCGCCCACTGGTGTCATGCAACCTGAAGTACTCAGCCCCGCTGTAAAAAAAACAAACAAAAAAGGACCGGATGCGGTGGCTTAGGCTGGTAACCTCAGAACTTTGGAAGGCCAAGGCAGGCAGATGGCGAGGTTAGAAGTTCAAGACCGGCCTAACCAACATAGTGAAACCCTGTCTCTACTAAAAATACAAAAATTAGCTGGGCATGGTGGCGCACACCTGTAGTCCCAGCTACTCAGGAAGCTGAGGCAGGAGAATCTCTTGAACCCGGAAGGTGGAGGTTGCAGTGAACCAAGATCACACCATTGCACTCCAGCCTGGTGACAGAGGGAGACTCTGTCTCAAAAAAACAAAGCAAAAACAAAATGAAACAAAACCTGACCCTAAATCTAATCAAACCTTCATAACCAACTTTTGGCACTTAGGAAATACAGGAGCAGAAAGAATGACTTAACATCAAAAAAAGCAATCAGACAAACCAGAATGCAGCACATCTTACTGACCTAAATTTGTCAGCTAGTCAAAGGCATGGAAAAAGCAGGAAGGGTGGGAGAAGCGTTCTAGATTAAATAAGATTTAAAAGTCATAAAAATCAAGTATGATGAGTAGCTCTTTTTTGGATCCTGACCTGAACAAACCAAAAAGGCATTTATAAGGTAACGGTAATTTTGAGGCAGTTGAATATGGACTGGGAATTGGGTGATATTAAGGACTTATTGTTGGCCAGGCTCAGTGGCTCACACCTATAATCCCATCACTTTGGGAGCCCAAGGCAGGTGGATCACCTAAGTTCAGGAGTTCGAGACCAGCCTAGCCAAAATGGTGAAACCCCATCTCTACTAAAAATACAAAATTAGCCAAGTATAGTGGCATGTGCCTGTAGTTCCAGCTACTCGGGAGGCTGAGGTGGGAGAATCGCTTGAAACCAGGAGGCAGAGTTTGCAGTGAGTCAAGATCACACCACTGCACTCCAACCTGGGGGAAAGAGCCAGGAAAAAAAAAAAAATTGTTAATTCTAAAAAAAGAGAACTGTTAATTTAGCTAGGAGTGATAATGATTTTGAGCTTATGTAATAAAATGTCCTTTTTTTTTTAGAGATACATACCAGAAGTCATTAGAGGTTAACTAATATGATGACAGGGATTTATTTTAAATACTACTGCAATTTGAAAAAAAGAAAGAAAGGGAAAGAGAGAAAAGGTCAATATTAAGCAGCTATTAAGCAATGGCAACGATTTATCAGTGCCGAACTGGAGAATGGGATGGGTATGGGGGGGGCGGTTATTACACTATTCTCTGTACTTCTGTATATGTTTGAAAATTCTACCAAAAAAGTTTATTTTAAAATACAAAAAGAAAAAAGTAGGAGGAGGACAAACATAATAATTTGAAGAATTGGGAAGTGGTGAGGATATTTTTCATCATTCTGTGGTCATCTTAAAGGAGAAATAAGATAATGAGAATTTATCATTAAAATATTTTCACCAAATTGAGAGAGAACATGAGCTCACTGATGTCCTTAGCACTGAGTTCCTTTGGGGGCTTAAGGAAGGGGTGTAGCTTGGCTTATGTAAAGCAAGAGCTCCCAGATCTCAGACCACCTGGGTGGTACAGAGAGAAAGGAGAGGATGTAGAAAATTAATTCTTGCCAGACTAGAATGAAATACTTTCATCTAAAGAAGTCTGGGAGAGAACAGAAACAAATAGGAACTCACTAATGGAAAATTATTGTTGGAAGCAAAATGATTTTACTAACAAAGTTCCTCTGGTCAGTGCAATTCTGAGATCACCTCTCACTAATTTATGGATTATTCTGAGTGATATGGAGAGAAAATACATGGTTTGCCCCCTCCTCTGCTGCCTGGGTTGTTTGTTTCTATTTTTTTTAATTTAGCATGTGCTTTCTGGGACTTTCTGGCATCTCTCATTGAGAGGAATATTCTCTTAAAATTTGTTCTTCTGGGGCTGGGCACCGTGGATCACACCTGTGATCCCAGCACTTTGGAAGGCTGAGGCAGGAGGATCACCTGAGGTCGGGGTTCAAGACCAGCCTGACCAACATGGAAAAACCCTGTCTCTACTAAAAATACAAAATTAGCCAGCTCATGCTTGGCTCATCCTTATAATCCCAGCTACTCAGCAGGCTGAGGCAGGAGAATTGCTTCAACCTGGGAGGCAGAGGTTGCAGTGAGATGAGATGGCACCATTGTACTCCAGGCTGGGCAGCAAGAGTGAAACTCCATCTCAAAAAAAAAAAAAAAAAAAAAAAAAAAAATTTGTTCTTCCAAGAACTGGGCTCTCCTGGCTCCTGTGTATAAAGAAGGAAGCCCATTAGCCTTTGAGCTTGCCTAACTACCAAGCAGGACTTGATATTTTCAGCTTTGATTTTTCAGATGAAACTTCAGAGTAAAACTTGTGAAAAGAATTTCTCCACATGATCACAGCAAATAGAGAAATATTTAAGATAGCTAAAACTATCTGTAGGAAGAAATAAGTCTAGAAAATAATTTCCTAAGGAGTAAAATCACAAGTCTACATACTTTTTGCCTTTAAGTAATGACCTGTTTTCATGGACAAATCAATAGAGCGATCCTGTACATAAAAAATAGTGAAATTTTAGAATTTATGTTTCATCTGAATCCAGCTAGTTGGGGGATGCCAAAACACAGGCCACCCATTTACATTACCGTTTCCTAAACCTCATTGTTTAAACATTGCATGGAATATTAATAGATATTCCTCACACGCACACAGACATACACAAGAGTCCATGATAAAATCACTAATAAAAAAACAAACAAAATTGCCATAACAAGACCACCCTGAGTGGGTTGCAAACATCATGAACCCAGTAGAGGTCCGAGCATTCCTTCACCTGTTTAATCAAAACCCAGGATTTCCCGAACTCATGTCAGTCTAGATCCTTCAGTGACGAAACAACCACTAATACCTGAGGATAGGCCCCTACAGGTTAGGGGTAGATAAGTTGGTCTACATTTATTGGCTACAAAGTTGCTGCCCAGTTTCCACTCTGAGCTTTGCACACACACAGTCCCACTGGCTTTGTCGAAATATTCAAAGGTAACCAACTTCTCTATAGTTAGAGTCCATGTGGGGCCAAGTTTCTTAATTCTTTAATTCTTTAGAATTCACATATGAATTCTAAAGAAAGAATACAAGTCCAAATTTTTTTTTTGCTTTGGTGTCCTAATAAACAAAGAAGCAAGCTATGGAATTGTATAAATCTAGTTGAATGTTATGATAACACCAGAAAATAACAGATTCGGCACCACCCTAAAATGTGTAACTGTGTCTCTGGTAAACGGTTTTAGCTTTCAAAGCTAATGCCAGAGAATTTCACAAAGACATCTAAAAAATGGGTAATTCGAACTAAGAATTATTGTGAGATATTAATTACCTGCAATAGAATTTGAAATTGAACCAAATATTATACTATGAGAAAAAAATGCAATGATAATAATGGTATGTTAAATATATTTTTGAGAAAATTTGGATCATGTCATTGAGATTCTGTTATTTTTCTAGGTAGCATCTTCTGTATACAAACAGTTGTAATGATACTATGTTAACACATGATACCTTAATTCATGAATATGCTGTAGATCATGATATCCTTCCAAATTATATTCAATGAGAAGTCTAAGTCATAATTAATCTATACAAGGTAGTTTATATTTCACTGTTTTTTAAAAAATGCTGTGAAAAATTACAAGAATAACCATTAAAATACAATGAGCAGCTGTTGCTTTGTAATGTCATCCTGAGAGAAGTAGACAGCGCACGTCTTAGACGCGTTTTTGCCCTGATCCTGCTATAATTCTGGCACAGGACTAAGCGGATAGCACAAGCTTAACTCAATAAAACTGGCTGGGTCAACGAAAAGTTTTGGGGCCTGAAGAGTGTCAGCCTCTTCTTCCTTGTCATCACTTCTGCCAGAGATGTCCCAGGACCCCAGGGCAATGTGGAGCTTCAGGAGATCCCTAATGGAACAGTGAATCAGATGCAGGAAGCCCTCATGTTCTGCTGGGGTTGTACCTTGGAGATGCTGCACAGCACAGGGCTGCTGGTTGGCGGAGTGGCCCCTGCTGCTCATCACAGAAGATGTAATGTCCCAAGCAGTTCCTATCAAGGCCAGGTCAGATTCTGACATATGTGCTAGCAGGGGATTTTATTTCCATATGGATGAACTCCCAATAGAAAAACACTATGGCTTCTCTCTATCCGACTGCAAGGGAAGAAATTTATTGATGGATGAATTTGAAAGAAGTAGATGAGTTTGGGCCAGGCATGGTGGTTCACACTTGTAATCCCAGCACTTTTGGAGGCCAAGGTGGGTGGATCACAAGGTTAGAAGATCAAGACCATCCTGGACAACATAGTGAAACCCCGTCTCTGCTAAAACTACAAAAATTAGCCAGATGTGGTGATGTGTACCCATAGTCCCAGCTGCTCAGGAGGCTGAGGCAGGGGAATCACTTGAACCCGGGAGGCAGAGATTGCAGCGTGCCAAGATCACACCATTGCACTCCAGCCTGGGTAACAAGAGTAAAACTCCGTCTCAAAAAAAAAAGTTTGAAGGAAGTAGCTGTGCAGGGTGATTCAATCCCTTCTGGTCCTGTCTCTTTTTTGGGAATCGTCCTGGCCAAAGAAAGGGGATTCTCCTTCCAGTGCCATAAATGGTACAAAGACATGCTAGGGACTGAATGGGTAGATTACGTAAATCAGGACTGAAGCGTTACAAGCTGCAGTCACATTCTCCAATTGGCTTCGTCAGAAATAAAGCTGCTTTTGATTTTTTCCCCTTTTTTAATCTCAATTTATCTGACTGTGCCTTACTTTTCAGCTGGTTCTTGACTGAGGAGGGCAGGGAAAGGGTGTTCTCTAGTGATCTCCTGCAGCTGTCCTGCCCCTTCACCCTGAGAGCGGATACCCCTCACAACGGCCTTCACCTGTGCCTCTCTTGGCTAACAGCCCAACCTCCTTTCTTTCCCCTCCCCCCATCTTCAAAAGCAATCCTTCAAGTGTCTCACTTCCTGGGTGGCCTAATTGCAGTTATAATGTCATGGGGTTGATCAGAAAAGTTCATCCCCTCAGTGGGCTATCTTGCTAGCATCTCACCTCTGACTCAGGATTTTAAGCCTCCCCTTGAAAGGGGGTATTTGAAGAGGGTGCAGAGACGCTTTGGATGCATCACCAAAAATGTAATTTGCTCTCCCTGACTGAGAGATCTAGCATTGGTCCAGACTCAAAAGACAGACAGAAGATGCTAAGCTTCTTAACCCATCTCAAGAACAAAACACATAGTTAATAACATTATTTTCAGAAAACAGTTATTTTGGGGAGGCCGGCGAGTCCCTTTACCGTACCTTTTCTCCTGGTCTTCTTGGCTGTCACTTGCTTTGCTTACAGACAGCAGCCTCTTGTCTCGAGGAACCTGGAAACATCACCAACCATCAGTCAGGCATACATTGATGCAACCATGACCATGTTCAGAGCTAGACACCAGCATCAGCAAAGAAACCAAAGTGGAATGTTCTCCAGGAAATGGTGGAAAAATTGCTATCACCAGGAGATGTTAAAGGTGAGTAGCCTGAGTGACAATGATTATGGAGCCAGAAACAGTGTTGGTGATAAACACATGGCCACAACAGACATGATTCAGCTGTTCATGGCTGGCCTGGGTGACTCTCCCTGGACCTGAGCACCTCTTGTGCACTTCCCACCATGGGAGTGAAAGAGGAGAGAGAAGCAACATGAGTGGAGGTGAATTTAGACATGGGTGCCTTTGAGCAGACAGAAAACATAATGGAGGTCCAAGATGAGTCACCGTAAAGAACAGGAGCCTACCCTCCTCTCTGATGAGGGCTTTAGGTGCTAACATGGTGGGGGGCTCAGGTACAGGGGGCCGTACTGTCAGCCAGCAGCGAGGGGAAGTATCCAATATACCTGGGCCCCACTTTGTCCACCTTCCTACACAGCTTGTGGACTTGCTTCCAAGATTTTGTTTCTAAATATACTTTCATTATTGTCTTAAAACCCCTAATACCAACATATTACCTGAAAGATTATTGAAAAAGTGCTAATTGAGAGATGGACCATCCCACCAGCTGTGTCTCTGATCATCTAATAACCTGCTGCATCCTAGATCCTTTACTCTGCCATAGTTTTCAAACACATGGGTAAGTAGGCTTGAATTGGGTTGGTTGATTAGATTTTTCATTTGCGTATTTTGCTTCTTCTTTTTTTGCTGTATCTCCAGAGCTTCCTTCTAGCCAAACTAACTTTGCACCCAAAAAGCAGCCTTTGCTTTCTTGAGATAAAAGCACATTCATGAAAATCATCCCTCTACTGGAGTCCCCTAGCAATTCCTGTGGTTTCCACTTACCTGAATGTGTACACAAGCCCGGACACCTGGCTTAGGGTGGGGACAGAGCAGGGTGGCCAGGAGTCCAGACCTAGGGCATGCTTGCCTGGATTCAAACCTTCAGCTCTACCACTCAGTAAACTCTGTCCCATTTTCCTCATCTGTACAGTGGGCATAACGGTAGTCCCTTGTCTCACAGGTTTTTAGTAAAATTAAATGAGTTAATTTTTTTAAAGCACTTGGAGTGTCTGGTACTTTATATTTGTTAAATAAAAATAAATCAATTTTAAGTAATTCATGTTAACGTTCAGAGTCTACACTATGCTAGGCATTGCTAAACAATGTATAAAAGTGAGATAAATAATAGTTCTCATCACTTATTGAACATGACAGATAAACATACAATTTCAATACTCAGTACACCTACATTCATTGTGGCACTATTTACAGTAGCCCGAAGGAGGAAACCACCCAAGCATCCATCAGCAGATAGATAGAAAAACAAAATGAGCATAGCCATAGAACAGAATACTATGCTGCCTTAACAGAGAATGAAATTAAGGCACATGCTATAATATGGAGGGACCCTGAAGACATTACACTAAAAAAAACTAAGCAGATACAAGAGGACAAATACTGTATGATTCCACTTATATGAGGTACCCCAGAAGAGTCAAATTCATAGACAGAAGGTAAAACAGAGATGACCAGCAGGTGGGAGGACAAGAAAGGAGTTACTGTTTCAGGAGTACAGAGTTTTCTGTTTGGGAAAATGAAAGGCTCTGGAGATAGATAGATGGTGGCGATGTTTGCACAACAATGTGAATATACTTAATGCCACAGAACTGGACACTTAATAATGGTTAAAATGGTAAATTTCATGTTATATATTTTTGACATTTTTAAAAGGCATTAAGAAAGAAGTAAATATTTAAGAAGACCCCACAGCCATAAAAATAGAATGAAATTATGTCCTTTGCAGCAAAATGGGTGGAGCTGGAAGCCATTATCCTAAGCGGATAAATGCAGACACAGAAAAGCAAACACCATGTGTTCTGACTTATAAATGGGAGCTAAACATTGGGTCCACATTGACATAAAGATGGGAACAACAGACACGGGACTGCTAGAGCAGGGAGCGGGGAGGATGCAGGGCAAGGGCTGAAAAACCACCTTTTGGGTACTAAGCTCACTGCCTGGGTGGTGGGCACAGTCGTGCCCCAAACCTCAGTGTCACACAATATATACATATAATAAACCTGCACAAATACTCCCAAATCAAAAACAAAAGTTGAAATGATAAATTTCTTTTTTTAAAAAATAAGGATACCTGGCTGGGCGTGGTGGCTCACACTTGTAATACCAGCACTTTGGGAGGCCAATGCAGGTGGATCACAAGGTCAGGAGTTCGAGACCAGCCTGGTCAATATGGTGACACCCCGTCTCTACTAAAAACATAAAAGTTAGCTGGGCATGTTAGCAGAAGCCTGTAATCCCAGCTACTTGGGAGGCTGAGGCAGGAGAATTGCTTGAACACAGGAGGTGGAGGTTGCAGTGAGCCGAGATCAGCCACTGCACTCCAGCCTGGGTGACAAAGTGAGACTCCATCCTCCACCCCCACAAAAAAGAGAGACCTGCACATGTATCCCAGAACTTAAAGTATAATCGTTAAAAATAATAATTAAAGAGGGGAAAAAAAAGAGAAAGAAATTCCACTGGCATTCAGATTAAAAACTTAATAAACTGGAAAACTACAAAAAAGAAAAAAAAAAAAAAAAAAAAAAAAAGAGACCTGCTTCTCCAGCTCTGCCTGCCGCTGGGTCCTGAGTTTATGACTGACCCAACTCCACCAGAGAGTACTTAGTTTCTCTCCTAAAAGATAGTTATTTCTACAGTGTTTCAAAAATTTAATACCCCGTGATATGAGATAAAACTGAGCTACTGGCAGGGCTCTCTGGAAGCCTACAAGATGGAGTTCCCCAGAGGGGCTGAGCCATGGGTAAGAAATTGTCAAGTGGAGGCAGAAGGCTAGAAGCCACCAGAGCTGCTTATAAAAAGGTTTGAGAGCAGGACAGAACAGGAAGGCACAGCCAGCGTAAGGAATGAGTTGGAGGAGATGCGGCCTCAGAGATGAGCAAAGGCCAGAGGAGGAAGGGCCTTGAACCAGGGACAGATGATTGACTTCTTTTGTCGGGTGCTACGGCACCGTCACATTTTTCTTGACTATCAAGGATCCCTTGCCCCCTCCCCTTCAACCAGGTGGCACAAACTGCCCTGTGCCTCTGTAACCCATCCCCTGCCCCTGGACACCGGCCTCCAGGCTCAGCCTCCAGGGTCCCTTGCTTGGGCTGCTGCATCAGCTCCTAACTGGTCTCTCCTCTCCTTCATTTCATCCCTGTGACTTATTTCTGGATCCATTAGGAAGACTCAGAGTGGTCTGCTTAAAATGCAGTCTGATCTCTTCATGCTGCTATTCTACTTAAAATCCTTCAGCGCTTCCGGTTACTCAGGTAGGTGGCCTCCAAAAAGTCTCCCACATCAACATGGGTAGCCCATTTTTGCTTCTCACACTTGGGCCAACTGTATCTACAACCATGCAATGCCCCTTCTCACAAAAGAGCCATCACACAAAGTTCTCTCTGCCTAGAACATGTCCTGCCCCTCCTACACCCACACCACCACCCATGCCTTCTCCAGGCTAACTTGTGCCCATACGTTGAGTCCCATCTAATTTTCTGTGTCCATGATATGGCAATCTCTGTGTCTACCTTGTACGTGGTTACGTCCTGAGTGCCTGGAATGTAGTAGGCCCTCACTAAATACTTATTGAAAGAATCAATCGATCAATGAAAATGGCCTGGAAAGGGCAGAACCAAAGAAATAGCAGAATAGACATTCCAAACTCTGAAACATGTTAGCAACTCCCAAAGATGTATGGAAGTGAACGTTATTGTTGCCAAGAGTCCCTGATGTGAGCTCTGAGCAGACAACTGTGCTCAGTCTATGGTGCGGGGCACAATGCCAGAAAGGTGGTTATTAATCTGCAGGTTTGCTCTTCTTTGAACCATGCGCTTTTTTGAAGCTTTGGCTTTGCAAACCATCTTTAGATAAACTAAGAACTCTGAACTTGATCTCCTCTCTTGAGTCCTAGACTTACCTACCAGACATCCCTACCTGGACTTCCTGCAGGCACATCAAACTCAACCCATAATTATCGTTCTCCTCAAAGCCTTTATTCTGTACTCTCTGCCTTGATTAATCCAGGAATCATCTTAGGCATCTTGCCCCTAGTTATGAACTCCCCTCACGAACTCTGTCTTTCTCTCTCTTTCTGTCCAGCCTGTGTATGTGACAGATTGTCTTCTACTCTGTGGCAGAGTAGGCATTGCTTCCTCTGGAGAGCCTGAATTATCTGAGAGGTTGCCAGTCAGCCCACTGCTCTTGGAACACACCACTTTTAGAGCAGTGACCTCCATAAACCATGGTTATAGGTTTATAGGACTGTGTTTGTCCTAGACTGTGATTGTTGGTGATCTCTCTGAGGTGGTGAACTGAGTCTCACCTGCCTTTGGATATCCAATATTTATCCCCATTGCTGGGAGGTTATAGCTATTTTGTGAGTATTTGTTGGGTGGGTGGATGGATGGATGGACAAACAAATCAACCCACAAACTGGTTTCCAACAGTACTGGTCAGTAGGACAGATAGAAACCAACTGACCAGGGGAGCCTATTTTCACTACAACTGGAACCAGATGATGATAAACCAGCTTTCTCAAGAGAAAAATAAAGTTAGATAAAGTCAGTCAAAACATTTTTAAAATATATGGCTAATTGAGTCTGTCAGGTCTTTCTATCATGCCTGAAATTCATGGAAAGGTTGCAGAACTCTGGAGCTGCTATCAGTAAGTAGTTTACACTGGATAGAGAACTGAGCTAGGATTTGAGTCTCTAAATTATGACAGATTCTATACATTGGGTTTTAAAAAATAAACACCACTTGATTAGTAAACAACATTAAGCTTCAAATGCATACTTTTAAAATTTGTAAATGGGTTCAAAAAATGGCATTTTTAAAATGGTGGTCATTGGAAAACAATGGCTATGAGAAAACATATGGGATTGCCCTGTGATCTTGGGTAAATCCCACTCAGTTACCTGAACTATAAAATGTAAAACCTGATGGATTTCACTGCAATGATCCTATGGTAACAGTTATCAAATATAAGTGAAAAGACTGAAATTTATAAAGTATTATGCAAAGGTATGCTTTTGCCACGTTCAAAGGATAGGACCCACCATTTCTGGAGTGACTGCATGTATCTCATTACCTCCTCCCTCTGCACAGACCCCACGACTGTCTCCTCAGGGTGAACTACTGCAACTCAGAAGCGAGGAAAAATGGTTTCTTTGGCAAAAAGAGTTCATATTCTGAAGAGAGACAGAAAGTCTATAAAATTTAAATAACTTGGCAGCAATTTCTCAGAGTTTGCACTAAAAACCCAGAACTGCTTTGTTTCATTAACATTTCACTTGACTACAGAAAAAGTTCTTTTTTTTTTTTTTTTTTTTTGACTACAGAAAAAGTTCTAACCTCAAGAGACATTTAACTTTCTTATAACTTTAACACCAACATATATAAGCTGTGAACACCCAGGATAGTGAAAAGGGCTTCAGAATGATCATTTGAACATAGAATGAAAAGAAGACCCATTCTTTCCACAAACACTAAAATGTTCCAAGCAAAAATATAGCAAAGCTTGTGCGAAATAAAAGCTATATAACTCTAGTAGTCCACATGGTCTTGGAAAATATTAATTCAACAGAAGGAGTCATAGACTTGGCTGCACCTTGAGTTTTCTGTAAACTCCCTACCTGGTATCTCAGAATATTTACAGAAAGCAGTATTTCAACTTTCCTTTAAATGCTAGCAAATATACAAAAGGACAGGTAATCTATGTAACACATTTACTAGTACTTAATCACCCATATTTACTAATACCTAATTATCCCCTGCATCTGTGGGAAATAAAATACATTGGCTTCACAAATTACTAATATGGAGTGGATGTGGTGACTCATGCCTATAATCCCAGCACTTTGAGAGGCTGAGGCGGGTGGATAACTCGAGGCTGGGAGTTCAAGAGCAGCCTGCCCAACATGGCCAAATCCTGCCTCTACTAAAAACACAAAAAAGGGCCGGGTGTGGTGGCTCACACCTATAATCCCAGCATT